AATTTTTTTTTTTCAACGTTTATTTATTTTTGGGACAGAGAGAGACAGAGCATGAACGGGGGAGGGGCAGAGAGAGAGGGAGACACAGAATCGGAAACAGGCTCCAGGCTCTGAGCCATCAGCCCAGAGCCTGACGCGGGGCTCGAACTCACGGACTGCGAGATCGTGACCTGGCTGAAGTCGGACGCTTAACCGACTGCGCCACCCAGGCGCCCCATAAAGATACGACTTTAAGCTGTCCCTCCATCAAGCCTCTTAGTGAAGTGGCTGATAAACTGTGGTGCAGTCACATAATGGAAAGCAACATGGCACTTTTATTAAAAAGAGTGGCATGTATGCATGAACATGAAATAATCTCAAAAGCGATGCTGAGTGAATAAGGCAAGCTGGATGTATGAGCTAATTTAAAGTTTTAAAACATGTAAACCAATACTATATGTTGCTTATGGATACGTACCTATGTAGTAAAAGCATAAAGAAATGCATGGGAGTGAAAAACACTGAAATCCAGATAGAGTTTATATCTAGGGAAGAGGTAGGTAAGAAGAAAGGGCATCATTAGGTCAAGGTGGATTACAGAAAGAATTTCCATGGTATCTATTTTATTCATTTCAAATGTATATGTGCATTACAAAGCTAATGTAGCCATGTTTAATATTTATTAAAGCTGATGTGTTCAAAATTTGATTTTACATACTTTTCCAATGTTTGAGATGCTTCAAAATAAAATCTTATAATTGTTTGTATTTAAAAATAGAAGAAATTTATACTCAAAGTCTCAGAAGACACAGAGTAAGCTCCCTGTTTTAGGAGGCAACCTTAACTAACAATCCTAATGCATTCCCGAGTCATATAGTTAAAAGATGTGTCTGCTGTTCAACCCTTAGCCTTTTTTAGCTTTTGTTCCCAAGATAGCTCTGCCAGAACTTTCAGAATGTGATTGTAACTAATGAAAAATTTAGATACATTCTTGGGTTTCTCAACACTTTCTGGGAAATTCTCTCAAAGGAATTTCGTTCAAAAATAGTAACTTTTCAGAAATATCTGTGGGATCGGTTGTTACTTTTAGAAGAGTTTGCTAATCATGATACTTTCCTGTTCCATTAAAAAAAAAGCCTTAATATTCAGGTTGTTCTATAGACATTAAACAGAAAACCATCCAAAAATTTCCTTAAAAAGAACAGGCTGAAGTCTAAAAATACTTTTAAATAAATAAGGTCCTACCACTGCCATAAAAATAATCATAGGGAACAAAACTCAGAGGCAAGTAACTACAATTTGTCCATGGCTTATGTATATTTAGAAGGACAATTTTAAAATAGTATTAATTATTAAACAGAATTTTGTGATTTCTTACCCTAGTTTAATCACTCTAGTCCATTTATTTAATGGAAAACACAGGTAATGGGACAAAATTTTACTTTTCTCTGTGACACAAGTTAAGTGTTTGGGGAGACAGAAGGGCCAGCATGTTATTCCCAAATGATGGATGGGAAAAGAGCTGAAGAGATTATGGAACTTGGCAAGGCCACATGGTTCAAATCATTAGGCTCCTACTTCAATGTTACTTTCATTGGTCTTAATAAGAATGCCGGTGATTCAACAGAAACAGTACAGGGAAGGAGGAGGGGACTGTAAGAACTAAAGGTGGGAGGAGAAGCAGTGAGTAAATACATTATGACAGTTTACTTGTCATACAGCTGTGAAAATAATGCTAGTTAAGGCTCTGGAAGACCAGGACAAGAGAATAAGTCATGGTAAAGGTCAGTATTCAAAATTATTTGTAAGCATCAATTTCAGCAATACAAAACTAGAAAGAAAACAACACACTGAAACAGAAGTACGCATTATTATGTGCCAGTACCAATATCATGGGTGCTTTTTCATTCCTTTTCTCTATTTCCCAAATTTTCTACCACGTGATAATACTTTGATAATTTCAAATATTTCAGGAGGCCCCTCAATGAAAGGGAAAAAAGCTATGAAACCCAGCAACCACTGGGAAATTTTCACTTGCAGAGATAGCAGCAACAACAACGAATGCACATAAACATTGTAAAGCCACCTATACTCTTCAAAAATAATGTTTAAACTCCGAAAGGGACACTAATTGTTTCAAAAGCCTCTTGTCCTGTTACTGGTGAAAACATAGGTCAAGCTGATAATGATTTTCAATCAATTACATCTGACTTTTCAACTGAGTGATCTTTGGGAAACTATTTGGGGCTCTCATGTCATTTCCTAGGAACAGCCATCCAGATCCAAAAATTCAGGGGAATGTGAATTTCTCTTCTTGGAAATCCTATCCCGGATGCCAAGCATCAAGTATCACAGACTTAAGGGATAAAGAGATAAAGCTATTACCACAACTCAAGGGTGAGGAACATGTAGGAAGGGCAGAACAAGGAAATGTGATCAGCTTCCCTGTAGGATAAGTACATGTTGATAAGACACTACACAAGCCAATAGGATGTACAGATTCTACAACACTTAAGTTAAATCCATGTAAAGATACTCAGATATATCCAAGTGTCTGTAAGAAAGGTTTTATGCTAGGCATCCATAGAATTTTCTAAAACCTTAACGAAATTCAGATTTCATACTTACATTTTCCCTTAGTTATGGCACAGTAATATGCAAGATTGCTGCATTTAGATGGCTTTGTCCATAAGTGTTATGTGTGTATACATACGTACATACATACATAGAGATAATGTTCAAAATGTTGAACTTACATATATGGTATACTGTGGATGATGGAGTTCCCAAAAGCAGCCACATATGGGTGACTCTCAGGATCGCCAGCTAGCACATTAGCCAGGAACCACATGGAACCAGATACCCTGTAGCCTCCACTGGGGGAAAGAGGAGGTCATGGCCTGCTCTTGCCAGGGGAATACTCAAGATGGAGGCCAGTGTGTGGGAGTTAAGGAAGGCTAGCTGGAAGGTTAGCAGACACCAGGGCACTGCCCTCCAGTGGCAATTCTTGGTTCTTCAGGGCCATGGTGGCCAGAGGTAACTTGCAAGAACTCAGGACAATGTTTTGTTTCTTTACCTACTGTATAGAATTATTTACACCCTGTTTTTCTGGAGCATGTCACCTAAATATCACCTCACTCTTGCATAGCAGCGGTAGCACTCTCTGTCACTGACAAACACACACACACACACACACACTCCACTGGCTAGAGAAGACCAAGACCCACCCCCAGAGAATATTGTGTGGGTTCACACATCTGTATATCTCTATATGTGTGTTTATATGTTTATGTATGTATGTGTTTATCACTCACCAGAAACACTGATCTCCTCTGAAAAAATTACCTAGATCCAATTCTCCTAAGTAAATAGAGGCCAGCTGGGACTCTGACTTTAGCCCTTACTCTAATTCTCCATTGGCTTTCACAAGAATGAGTGAAACGCCTAGTGGGGCCGACTATTTACCTACTGTGTCTCAGCTTATTCTGTTCTATAATGCTGGGGCTGGGAATCTGAAAACTCTATTTCCCAGGCCCAAGTGCCAGTTGGCTTCCTGCCAATAGGAGGCACTGGGGGAAATCAGCAGGTGGCAGGAGGTGAAAAGCTGCTGTGTTTGTTCTCTTTCATTCTCTCTCCTGTTTCTTACGATGATGCTGGAAGAATATTCAGCCCCTCTTCCTATTAATTCCCCTCACTCTGAAAGGCCTAGTGTGGTTGTGGCTTTCCTGGCTAATAGGCTAATGCGCCAACCCTTCCACAACCGACGCCAACTTGCTCTTGAGTCTGTTTTCATCAAGGATCAATGAAAGAACACTTTGTGAGGCTAATTTGAAAATGGACCTACACCTACATGTTTAAGCTAACTGGTAGGTTTTCCCGCATGTTACTCAGGATTCACACAAAGGGCATCTCCTGCTCTTTGCAAAGACTAAATTACGAGCGGTGTTCAGAAATACTTTGCTGGGTATCTCAGTTTACCTTGTCAACTCACAGAGGGAAAAATTTTTTTCCTCTAAATCTTTACATTTGCCTCTAAGTTCTTTTCCATTTGCTCTTACCTCCACATGAGCCCAACTTCAGACTTCAACCTTTCTCCTTGACCTTCATCGGATCCATTACCTAATCTCTATGCTCTTTCCTTTTGCCTTTCTGCCTGATGAATCGTATCTTTGCTTGCGTCAAATGAAGTAAGCTGTTTTTCATTTCCAACAGCCTCTCAACACTCGGCGCTTGTATTACCAAAAATTTCTCACAGGCCCTAGAGTAGCCCTTATCTACATGTTTCCCAGACCTGAAAACACAGCCTCACTGTACCCCAGCTATTACCTCGGTGACACTACTACTATCACACCTAGCATCCTTTACCTAGTTTCAGGTTGGGGGTTATTCATTTCTTCTATCCATTTCTGAACACAGACGTATTTTTATTTCACTATCTGGATGTTTTCTCACTGCCCATTTTTTAAACTGTTAGCATCTCTTGAGTTCAACTGTGTCTACTCCGGCAATGAGTCAGACAAAAGCCGTTTCTTGACAAAAGCGCTTAACATCTTGGTGTCTAATGGCTTCAGTTCAGACCCTAGAGAAACAAGGAAACGTACCGAACAGTGCATCCTGTCTGGCATCTGGATTCAGTGCAAGCACTCACTGCATTCGGTGAGTACTTACATTTTGGGCACTCACCTTAGACAACGGCAGACAGCCAACAAAAGTTGATCAACTCAATATGGACAGTGGGCCCTTGATGCTATCTTATTTGCTTAAAGCTTGAGACTGTTCCATCTGTATAGCCTTTTAAATCAATTTGAGGCACCTGGATACCGCATGAGTCAATTCATAATGAATTTTCCACACCAAAATAACCTATCGTAACTACATATTAAAGATGTCCTAACTAACACTTATATTGTGCTTACTGTGTGCCAGGGTAGGTTTTAAATATTCTAAATATGTTAACTTACCTGATCTTCACAGCAGCCGTGTAAGGGAGGGCTTATTACTGTCATCGCCATTTTAATATGAGCAATCTGAGGCACAGAGAGGTTATATAAGCTACCCTAGGCCACACAGCTAGTAAATGGCAGACCAGGGATTTAACTCCAGGCACTTTGATTCCAGGGCCTGTGTTCCTAACCACTACACCAAAATGCCTCTCACACCGTCTCATCTACATCTTTGACTTGGAATAGTTGCCAGTCTCACTCAGGCTCTCTTCCTAAGGAGTTTTGTGCCCTGGTGATGCTCTTCTCAGCAGTGACAGTTCTCATTCTGACCCACACAGTAATAGCTACCCCTCACAGGGAACCTACTTATGCAGCAGAACATTATGCAAGGTGCTTTCACATTTGTATACTTGTCCTTGGAATGTGAGTTCCACTTGCCTTTCCCCGCTCCCAGAGGCGGCTCCAAGGACACGGCCTTGAGATAGTGATGATGTGTTGAGAACACCTACACAGTATACATGACTGAACCTAGTTATAGCCTCTATATAAACTTTTAAGATTTGGCGAGCAGGTGCAGGGATGCACTCGTCTTGCTGCCCTAGTATGTAAGCCCCTTGGCTTATTAAACTACCACCTACCAACCTGGAGTGGCCTGCCTCTTCCTTCACTCCCCACCCGCTGAGCATGGGGCCTGGTTTCAGATTACCCCAGGAAGCTTCTGAGAAGCTTGCAAACCCACAGCCAATAACCAAAGGGAAGCTAACCAAAGCTGCACAAGATCAAACAACTAATAAGTAGAAAAGGCAGAATCACTCCAAGGCCTGTGCTCTTAACCCCTAGACAATATGACACCCCCCCCCATATTCTTCCCCCTTCCCAACCAGCTCTGGGAAGGAGCTCCCATTGATTCTTCAAACCCACAACTCTTCCTCCAGTGCAGGTGCCTGACCAGGACCTTGCAGAGCTTTCTGGGCCCAGATGTCAGTCCAGGCTCGGATTCCCCATAGAACACTGAGGAAATCACTGAACATCTTTGAGGCTCTACGTCCTTTTCTGCAAAATGGGGATAAACACCATCTACTTCATAGGATCACTGTGGAGCTTAAAATATAATGTACAGGAATGTGTCAGGTGGAGCAATATTTTTGATTATCATAGTAATAGTGAGACCATTCAGCATCAAAACAATGTATAAGACAGGCTGAAGCATATGTATTTTCCTGCATAGCAACTGGATCAATATGCTTTAGAAGGCCACATCTTGGAGCCCAATGGGGAAACTTTATCATTAAAGCTTTCTCTCACTTCTGAATAAGCTTATAAAAGTCTGATGTTCATCTACAAAGCTAGGACTTCTTCTAGATATGTGACTTGTCAAACTACAATTTCAGGAAAGACCTGTACCTCAGAACCTTACTTATTTAACAAACTAAAAAACTACTTTTTCAAGAAAATCTAGTAAGTGGTAAAAATAGGGGGTTTTGTGAGGAAGAAAAGTTCTTTATCAGAACTATTTATAGGAAAGGAAGTAACACTGGTTGTGATTAGAAAGCCCTGTGGTGAATATATCTACTGGAAAATACATGTCCCAAAATATCAGAAAATAAAAGAATTATTACTATTCCTCCATCAATAGCTTACCGCAAATATACAGTCCAACTCACAATAAATTATGGAGTCATATGTATGTGCACTTAATCTGCCAAAACACTCATGAAGTTTAATGAAGTTAACTCCCAGCAGGCAGATTTATTACTCGTCATTTAATAGGAGTGAAGCACATAAAGAATGTTTAACAACAAACATCATGCATTTTACATTAGAACATGCCCACTAATTGTAAAATACTCAATTTGCTTAATTCTTTCCTTAATGATCAAATTAGACCAAATCCAGGTCCATTTGCTTTATGGTACCCACTCAACTAAGCATTCTTTCTGACACTTCCTTTAATTTGAATCTGCTCTAAATCTTGTGATACGCCTGGCATATTAAGGCTCATATCTAGCCAAGGAATGAATCAAAAGTTGGTGCTTTCTGGCACTACCCGGTTTAAGTGCTTGGGACTTGGGTTAGTTGAAAGGCACAAGGCCAGTAAAACTTGCCAAAAAAACAAAAACACAGTATATTTAGCACTTACTGCTTTGAGGTCTTCATTAACATAAGTATCATTCATTATAAACTCAGGATAGCCAACTTTTGCCAAAACAGCTCTTGCCTATAAAAATGAAAGAAAAAAATGATGTCAGAGTCTCAGCACTCAAATCATTAATAATCACACAACGTAGGAATGCAACTTTCATCTGAAAACTCTCTTTACTGAGTATCTACTACACTATATACAACCCATTGTGAAATGCAGAAAAAAAAATCTACTTTTTTTTAAATTCAGTCCCTACCCTCAATACGTTAACAGTACAGTGAATGTAACAAACAAATACATAGTAAGAATAAAATACAGGTTTTAAAACAAAGAAAATATTGTTATCAAAGTCCAGAGCAGAGACTAATTCCTCATGGGAAAAAGGTTTAATGTAGGTGACCAAACTGATCTTTAGAGAATGGTTGGGACTTCAAAATGCAGAAGTGAGATGAAGAACATTCCAGGAGAGCAAACAAAAGGGGCAAAGACAGGGCCCAGGAAAGAAG